GTTGTGTAAGGTTTATTCCAGTTTGATATACATTCCAAGAGAAAGTACAAAATGTAATCACTTCTTGATTTTAAAACATGACTTGAAATGTAAAAACAAGTTATAAAACATGAATTTGCAGATCAAAACATGGCTGGAGTAACATATTTTTATGTTTTTAAGTCATTATTTTCCACTTTACACCAAGAGAAACCTTCTAATTAGTGATTAGCAGGATGTCACTGAAACTTTATTCAACAGGAAACAAAACAAAAAGGATCTCCCAACCAGGAGCGGCTGCCTGACTAGGCCTTCTCGTAGTGGCGGATGGCAACCACCTCGCCGAAGGTGAGGGTCTGAAAGAGTCAAAGAAAATGAGATCTCTCGACACAGTCATATGAGTAACTACATCTTAACAATTATCACGTATTTTTACTTCATCATTATTCAAAACAAAGCAAATTTACGACTACCAAAGCTGCATAAATATTTAGTAAAGCTAAAAAGAGAAGAAATTCGTGTTTATTGGGAGCACAATTTATTTATACATACATGTAGACATAGTTCTTGCTTAAAGTAAAAACTTACATTGACAATTTAGATTCGTAAAAGAAGAATTCCTTTATCGTTGGGCTATCAGGTAAATGGTGATAAATTAGAAGTCACCAAACTCACTACCGTCAGGTACATTCTGACCCATAGTGACCCTGTTATCACTCACTCACTCACTGGCATCGAGTAATTCTGACTCACAGCGACCCTAAAGGAGCAGGTGGAACGACCCCGGTGAGTTTCCAAGACGGCCTCCTTGTAGGGTGCACAGAGAAAGCCGTCTTTCTCCCACTGACCTCATAGCATGTCTAAACAATGTTCTCAGCTCCATAATTTGAGATTTATAATATCTCTTTTTAACAGATTTCTACCAATAATCTAGATAAATGTGAAACTGTCTCTAAAAATCCCAACTCATCCAGGCAATTGTTACGTGGAATGCCTTGTTCCAAAAGCAACAATAAAAGGTAAATTTGAAATATCTGTGGCCATTGCTCTAAATGCTTTCTTTGAATTTGATTTTGCCTGATTATAGTCATGCTTGCCAAAGTTGAGCTATTTGCCTTTCTATATTCCGGGAAATGTTAAATAGAAACATAGAAGCACCTTGTCTATTTTTAGACATTAATCTTTCTTTTAACAATCAATGTAGACAATATAGACAAGTATCTTTTTAACGTGACAGGAAAACTGTCTCTCTGTTCTCCCACTTGCATTTTGGAAAGAAATATAACTACATGAGCATATAACTCACTGTGTAGATAGCCCTAACCGCAGTAGTCTAGAGGAGGAGACAAAAATAGTCTATTATCTAAACAATGCAACCCAAAATCATTTCTGGACATGTCAGGAGACGGTAGAAAAGAAGGCGCTGGACCAGATGGATTGACACGGTGGCGGCAACACTGACTCAAAGTTCAGCACTATTGGGAGCATGGCCTGGACCTGGCAGCGTCCATGCTGTTGGACCTTGGGTTACTGTGAGTCAGACCAACTCACGAGCA